GGGCCGTATCCGGAAAAAACCATAGAAAAAGTATATAAAAACCCATGGACAAATGCACATATTGAATCCGGTAGTGCCCGATAGATTATTTTATAAAGGTCTCTATGGGGTATTTTAAGCAGGGATATGTACATGTACAAGGGTAACTTTGTAGGTATGCATACCTACAAAGTTACCTATACACATTTCCATTAGCTTTAACAATATTTTTGCTTGCTAAAAATATCTTTACCTATTATAATTGTATTAATGACAATAAATAATGTAGAACTTACTTATTTACGTCAAATATTGTTTAAAAACCATTTGCGATTATCTCTCTAAGACTTAAACCACTATTTTTTACATTATCCATGCCATTGTTATACAACTCCTATTACGGGGAATTTAAATTACCCGCGGCACGGCACAGCACTGCGGCAACATCGCAGCATCGCAACAAATGCTGCTACGCTCTGATTGGTCGTCGATGGGTTACTTTTAATGTATCCTGTAATAATGGTAAACATGGTAATTTACTACCAAATTCTTTTAGAGCAATTTTTTGTGGTCCTAGCGGATGTGGTAAAACAAATGCTTTATTAACTTTACTATTTGATCCGAATGGAGCTAAATTTGAAAACATCTATGTTTATTCAAAATCACTTTTTCAACTTAAATATCAATTATTACAAACTGTTTTAGGCAAAGTAAAAGGTGTGGGGTATTTTCCATATAAAGACAATGATGAAATAATTGATATTGCCGTAGCCCAAAATAATTCCATTTTTATATTTAATGATGTGGCTTGCGACAAACAGAACAAAATTCGTGAATATTTTAGTATGTGTAGACACAAATCCATAGATGCTGCATACTTATGTCAAACATATTCAAAAATACCAAAACAATTAATACGTGATAATTGTAATATTATTGTGCTATTTAGACAGGATGATAAAAATTTCAACATGTATTTGATGAAAATGTCTCACCTGACATGTCTTATGATCAGTTCAAGAAAACATGCTCAGAATGTTGGAATGATGAATATGGTTATTTGGTAATCATTAAAGATTTTCGTTTAAACAATGGAAGATATCGAAAGGGGTGTGATAAATATATAACTATATAACAACTACATTTAACGTCATTAGTAATCATGACATTATCAACAGATGTTGTAACAAAATTAATTGAAAAATATTCTAGAAATATCAGAAAAAAACATTTGGCTCTTAAATTAGGAAAATCTGATGAAGATGAGGCGTTAAATAATTTATTTAAGCCTATAACTAGCTTAATGAAACAATTTATAAAACACAAATCCATTAAATTAGAAAATGATATTTTAATTAAAAAAGAAAATGTTTAACCTGATAAACATAAAGACGATCATGATGATCACCATGATGATTATGATGATTATATTGATAATCATGATGAAGATCATCATGATAAACAACATGATGATCAAGATAATAATGATAAAATAAATTCTTCATTTCAAGTACATGAAAAACTAATAATTATTACAGTTGAAAACAAAAAGTTTAAGGGAACTAAAGGCTTATATGAATTAGTATTTAAAAAGAAACCATCTGAATATTCGTTAGAAGATAAAAAAAATATAAAGAAATAATACAATTAACAAATGTGCATAGGAAAAATTTTGAATCAAGTGGATTGCTAAGAGGAAGCAAATTAAATAAATATCGTTACATAATAAGAGAATTGATGCAAAATTCTGTCAGTGGAACTGGCTATAGCAAACATAATTCATTTAACACTTTAACATACAAAAACAATTCTATTGAATATATTTACTGGAATAATGTAAACGAGTTGGTTGAAAGATTAAAGTTATTGGTAGCCTCCAAAAATGCTGGCAATACATCGAATGATAATGAAATTATCGCGATAATAAACGAACTTAAAGAAGCTGGTGTTATATATTAACTCACATTTATAGTTAAAGTGCTTATTTTAAAAATGCCTCTTAATAAGTTTAGTCAATCCTTACAAGGACATTTTAATACGAATTCAATATTATCAAAATTACAAAATAGCAATAGTGATCTTAAATATACCATCAATGAAAATATTGATGCGGAAAACTTAAGAATATGTAATGTTAAATCACCAACTTTAAATGGAGATGCTACTAATAGACAAATATGTTGAAGAAAACATAAAATTTTCTCAAGACACATTAAAATCTCTTAAGAAATTTAAACAAGATACATTAAAAGCGATTCGAAAATTTGAACAAGATATCCTAGATTTAAGAAATGATAATAAACAAAGTATAAAGGATTTAAAAAAACAGTTAGACGACATTACAACAGCGAATGCGAAACTGTGTTGATATATATAAAAAATATGCATATTTAGAAAAAGATTTAAATTACAGATTTAACGTCACATTTAGTGATAATGTGCTGACCAACAACAAAGTTGAAATTCTAAAAAAAATTTTTATGAATTAGAAAACAAGCTTAAAAAAAGATTTAGCGATGATGGAAAACCTCTTTAATGTTAGTAATCGCACTGTAATATCATGAACCATACAAAGGAAAAAATTAAACTTGTTAACGAACTGCATAAGCCGATAAGAAAAAACTTTAAACGCAGGCGGACAATTATTAAACATATAGATGATTTATGGCAGGCTGACTTAGGTCAAATGGTAATACTAGTTGTTGACTGTTTTTCTAAATATTTGTGGGCCAAACCATTAAAAAATAAATCTGGGGAGGAAGTATCCAAAGCTTTTGAATCAATATTAAAAGAAAGATGTCCACGAAATTTGCAAACCGATCAAGGAAAGGAATTTTTTAATAGCAGGTTTAAAGAACTTATGACTAAGTATAAAATCAATCACTATAACACATTTAGTTGTACAAAGGCTGCAATCGCTGAGCGTGTTATAAGGACTTTAAAAGAACGTTTATTCAAATATTTTAGTTTAAATGGTTCATATAAATGGATTGATATATTACCACAAATTGTTTCAAATTATAACAATACAAAACATAGTACAATTAATATGAAGCCGACTGATGTTAGTAAAGAAAATGAAAATGAAGTTTTAAAGTCTTCATTTACTCACATAAAATTGTCAACCATACCTAAAAAACTTTTGATAGGTGACATAGTAAGAATAAGTAAATACAAACATGTTTTTGATAAAGGATATACGCCTAATTGGACTACAGAATTGTTTAAATTTGTTAAAGTAAAAATAACAAACCCCACCACGTACATGTTAGAAGATCTAAACGGTAAGCCCATTAGTGGAGCATTTTATGAAGAGGAGTTGCAAAAAACAGCGTTTCCAGATATTTATTTGGTTGAAAAAGTTTTACTTAAACGCGGTAACAAAGTCCTGGTCAAATGGTTGGGATTTGATAATTCGCATAACGGCGGGATTAATAAAACAAATACCTTTTAAAATACTTAAGTTTCCCCCTCCCTCAGTTTTTTACCATAATACTAATATTTTAAAAAAATCATTAGTTATTTTAGAAAAGTGGAGCAGCACGCATATAAAAAAATGAGTAGTAGAAGTAGTTTTAGTGATAGCGATTTTGATGCCTACCTCGATGAAATGCTTAATAGATATGAAAAGAACATTCAAGGTGAAACAAAATATATTTGCGCAACAGCTTATGATTTTCAAGATTTTTTTCTGGAATGTGGACTTAGTAGCGCTAGAGATTTTATACCTGCAGTAAAAATGGTTGACAAGTTTTGTTCCCACAAGTATATATCTTTTACCTATGCTGAATGGAATGATGTAATTCATTCATTTCAAGGACTTTTGGAAACAGATGGTTATGGTGATGAAATCAAACTTGAAAGAAATATTAAAATAAGTTTATGTGATGTTGGTAATAATAATAAGATTTTTCAAGTATCAAATAATTATACCATTTTTCAATTTGTACAGTATGATGTATTTGAAATTTTAAGAATAAATAATATGATACTAAAAAAATTCTAATGTTAAATAATTAAGGCTTTAATGTATTTTATTATAATATTTTAAAAAGCTTAGTTGAAGCGTTAAAAACAGAATTTAATTCTTCTCAGCATGTTACCACAAATGCTATGATAAAAATATTATCAAACTTATGTTATTGTAGTACTAGTGTAAAAAGTTATTTTCTTTTAGAATGCTTGTATTATTTAAATGATAAAGTATTGTATGATTTAGAAAAATATATTGATTTTTAAACTTACCATCAATTTTTTTTATTACGAATACCCACCAATAAATAAATAAAACACAAAATCCATCACAGCTACACAAAAACTATTATTACAAAAAAATCTAATATGATTGCTATGGTAAGGGAATGCTATAGTGACCATGGGGTAAAGTATCATGTGAATTTAATATTAAATGTCTTTTATCGTCGAATGGACTAAGACCAATTTTTTTCTGCTCAGCACTAAAAACGTTATGTGCATTTGATTTAATAATTTTTTGACTTACTATATTTAGCATATTTTCTCTTAAACATTTAACATAGTCTTCAAATGTGAGAGATTTAACCACGTTCGATTTGACCCCCTTCGATTTTGTGACACATTTTCCCCCCGCAAATTTAAAAGTATACATTTTTGAGCGCAAACCCACAAAATACGTCATTATTTGCCCGTTTAGTTCATCCTTAAGTAAACCGGGGATTTTCTTATTAACCAAGGGGATGTTCCATTGATTATCGCTTGGGTAATCACTAGTATCAAACATATGTAAATAATTGAGGATGACTTCCTTATACAAGTCTTTACAACCAAATTCGTATATTAAACTATCCGTGTCGGTGTACATCAATTTCACATTATCAAATTTCGATAATGTAAAATTATAGTGGAAATCGTAAACACACACCTTAGATATATCTAGGATAGCCATTCCGATGTAAAGAGGTTTATTAAAACATACATTGGTTTTATTCAATTCTATTGCCATAAGATTTTCATGGAAAATGGTATGATTATGGAAATTTGGACTAGCTATTAGATTTTTCGCTTCCATAACGACCCTCCCATTTTGTAACTAACTTAACTATGCGGTGTTTGCAAATATTCTCCATTATTTTCCCAAACACTGCGTTATTCATTAATTTGAAAAGGTTTTTTTCAAAATCGTTCTTAGCATTTTGTCGCAAATTTGTGTTCAGCTCTATATATGACTTTAGCCATGGTGTCTGCTTAAATTTTAATAAACGATGTATTTTTGTTAAAGTTAGACCGTGTGAAAGAACCTGTTTTAAATTGCGGTAGTGAATAGCATATTTTGATTTATTATTCAATGTAGTCATTAGTTTGGGAAATTTTGAATTTGGTGGGGTTTCATGTTCTGGACAAAAAGGCAAATCTTTATGAAGATCATGTAAATTTTTGGGATAAGATAGATCCACCTCTAAAATGTATCCCAGGAGTGAATCATCTGCAACACCCATAACATCAAAGTTATCAACATCATCGACCCATTGAAAGTTATCGTACCGCAAATATTGAGACATGGCCCAACCATATAAATTGTTAACGTCAAAATAAGCTAAGTATTTAGATGGTTTTGAGGGATCGTACGCTTCCCCCATATACCTATTGTTGGCCTCCGCGTATCGATTGCTGCACTGGCTTACTCCTCCCCTTATGCCCCCTATGCCCCTATAAATAAAAGCATATCTACATCTTTTAGTATTTGTAGACGACAGCGAGTAAACCTGAGCATACAATCCCACATATAGCCTGGTAGCGTATAATAGTATTCAGGATCGAGCCCATACGTATTGTAACAGCTTGCGCGAAATTGCTCAAATACGTCAGCCAACAATAGAATATCAGTTTTTAAATAAAGGTCTGAATATTCCCCCAAATTTTGACAATTAAATTCATGCCACACCTTAAGGGCATGTGCATAATCTTCATTTGAAATATCGCAATCATTAAGTTTATTGTAAAAAGTAGATTTTTCTGGTAGACAAGTAAAATTTAATTTTTCTTATGAATCGATAAAATCGTATGGAAACACGCCCTTACGTTCCAATAGTTTAATTTTTTCATCTGATATATTTTTGAATTCCCCCCTTAAAATCGGATAATTAGGTAAATATGAAGCTAACTTGTTTAGACCTGAGGCCATGAACCGAAAAGAGTCGATAAACCTTAATTTTATGTTTGTTTGATTATCATACACTGTAAAGGAAATGTATTTCTCTTTATTTATCGGCAGCAAAGATATTCTAGTAAATTTTGATAAATCTTTAATGAGAAAATGACTATCGTAACCCGATAAGTTATGAAAAACAACTGAAACAGTAAAAGTATTTTTATAATTAAGGTTGCAAACCTGATGGGCATAACCTCTAAATTGGCCATTAAAATGATTATGATCTCTAACAATTATATCACCTTGCCTAAAGTCCTTTTGACAAATATGACATGATGGACTGGCATCCTTTAAATCAATACCATTTTGCATGGGTATATTATCTTGAATTTTTAATTTTACTAGTTTTGATACCTCTGTAAGTTCATTTGCGAACCATTGTATACAGTCTAAGCCACGATAGCTTTTGTAGTAAGATAAATTATTATCATAATCACATTTAAAATAATATGCGAGACTAAATGCCTTGTGCTCTTGATATTTTAAATATTATCGTTAATGGGTAAATGAATGGATTCTATATCAGCATACATAATGAATGGAACTTTTTCTTGAAAATTTTTGTTTTTAAATTCAACATAGTCATACTTGGGAAAAGAAATTTTGCTTTCGTTAATTTTTGCACAATATATTTCATGTTCTTTTAATTTTTCTTGACTGGTAAAATAGTTTAGACAACGATCACAAATATGTATTTTACGACCGTTTTTTGTATGTTGTGATTTTATTAGCCTGGATAAATTTTTTATCCAGCAATAATGATACTTTATTTCGCTATCGTCAGCCACATCAACAAGCGGTTCGCAATCTGAAGGCTTAGGAAAATACCTATCTTGGATTAAAAGTAAGTTAACATGCTGAGCCAATTTATTTTTTGTAAGCCTGACGGGCACAGTGTTGTAATGGGAACCTTTTTGTATTCAATTAGCTCTAGACTGTAAACATTAATAGATAATGAATTTAATTTTTCAAATTTGCTAACGTCTGATAATTTCATTGGAAAACTAATATAATCGAAATTTAAAACATTGTTGTAGCGCGGATAAGAGGAAGTTCTATCCGGATGATTCTTAGAATCAACCGGATATAATGCCGATACTACCGCCCAAGCGAAGCATGCATCGTCATTGAAATTTTGTACGTTAATGCGAGCATGTTTTTTAGAAATTTCTTCGGGTAACCTAATAAACGAGGATCCATTGCCAACCTCATATTTATTTATATTAATTTCTAGTGATAAAACTTTGCTTAAGGCCATCCACTATCTTTCTCAGCAAACTCGCTTAATGTATTTAAAATTTTGTCAATTACATTTTAAATGTATACCGTTATCTATAATCTCGTTTTTGGTATTAAAATATTTAATTTCGGTATTATCTTCAGCTTCAACATTTTTTTTTAGAAACTCACCCCCAAAACAAGTATTAACTTTAAGTAACGGAATGGTTTTTAGGATATTTTTTATTCTGGATTGAAACAAAAAAAATGCATCATTTAAAAACCCTTGGGGATCCAAATGCTTTAAATTTATTATAATACCTGTTCGAATTCGCGACTCAAACAGCGTAGTTAATTCTTCCCATTTAATTCGTTCACTACGTTTAGTTTTTACCCCCGACTGCTAATATGTTTTTTTGACACCCTATAGATAATTTTTTTTTTTTAAATAATGTTGAGCACAATATTATATTTTTTTTTTAATTAAATTAATCCAAGTTGTAACATCGATTTGAGCAGAGTTATTGGTAAACAACTTTATAGCATTTAATATTAAATTTTATGATTCTTTACTTGCCCTGACCACTTCTGCTGTATCCATGTTTTGTTAAATTTTCCTAAATTCCAAGCAGGGTGTTTGACTATATTTGGAATTCTCAAATTCTTTGATTCCTAGATAAACCAGACCAAATTTCCCCTTATTAAACTCATCTAAATTGGTTTCGACTGCCTCCATCAACCTTTTCGGAAGAAACAATTTATAATTGTCAAGCTCCACTAACGGAATGCGCCCAAACTTGCCGTTCACAATCTTTATGAATTTTATTTCGTATACTTCTCCTTTAATCAATTCATCAATTTTCTTTACTTCCTTTTCTGCACATGCTGCGGATGAATTGATTTTAGCTAGGAAAGACATGCTAAAAAAAATAAAACATAAAAAGCTTAAACTAAAATGAGGAAAAAATAAACATACCTTATAGTTGTATATAAAAATAGACACAAAAATATTTAGAAGTAACTTCTGTGATTACAGATGTGTATGGATGACCTAAAACCACCCTTTTTATATACGTCAAATAATTTGATGAATTAATAATCATATATATTAAGCAATTTTATTACTTTATTTTTGAATTTTGGAATATAATTGCCTTATTTATTTAATTTATTAGTTTTAATATTAACAAAATTTAATTACCATATTTTTAAATTAATGATCTTAATGTCTTTTATTTTTAATTTGATTTTGATTTATTACACAACTTAATTGTTTTCTACTCATTAAATGATATCGTCTTTTGACCTGTCAACTTTAATTACATATATTACGCACATAACTGAATTATTTGTATTTAGTATAGCCATGAAATATTTATTTGAAATATCAAAAAACAAAATTATTGCATAAAGTCGAAGAAAAGAATTTTAAAAATTAGCTGAAGCATTTTAAATTTTTTTTTTTATTACATATCGTTTGTACAAACAACTTTAATTTATAATTTTAATTTTATTATTAAAGTATTAGTTTAAAATAACATACAAGTCCAATAAAAAAAGGGCACCAAAGAAGACGGAAGATCTTCTGTCTCACTCTCTTCGACACCGTCCATGAACGCAGTAGCACGCGGTTACAATAACTCTCTTTGGAAATTAGCAATTTTGGTGTGTGAAAATCGTTCTAAAACTAGAAATATGAAAAGCTAAATATATGTATGTGGAAGTGCAAACCTGAAGAACCTGGAAACGAAAGGGCCCTTTACTCCGTAGAATACTAAAACGAAGGTAGGTGCTTTTTTTATACGCAATTGGTCTTGTATGGTTTAACTATTATATTTTTAATCAAAGTAAAATCATATATGCGATTACAGTCCCGCATTGCTCTCATCTAGCTTATTCTCTAAAGCATTCGTACATTTTTTTGGCCTTCGACCCGCATTTGCATCAGTAAGATTAAAAATTTAATAATTGATTTACTTTAAAAATCAAAATTTTAAATCATCGTTTAAAACAGTTGTATAACGCAGGAAGGCGTTCAAGGTCGTTCATACGACACAGCGTTTTTTAGGTTCTCGGGTTTATTTACAATTTCGACTTAGAATTTACGCAAAAATAATTTCAAATTTTATTTTTGTAATTTTTATTTTTTAGCAGGAAAATTGCTTGGGGGGGTTTAAATAAATTAAAAACAATTGATTATTCAGTGATACATTGGTGGATAAAATTTTCTTTGCAAAAATAAATACAAAAAATAATAAGTGGATAAGTCCAGTTTTGTGTCTTGATTGTGAAACCAATAAATATTACTTTTCGTAAACTTATTTATTGAAATAGGTACTTCGTTTATATCATAATAGTAAGATATTGTTACTTTTCACTTAAATAACTTTGTAAAAATTCGAGGAAAAGTTTTGAAAAAAAAAGAACTTTTTTTACAAAATAATTTTCGAAATTTAAACCTTTTAAACTTGATTCACGGCTATAAATTTTAAATAGCAGCTTAGATATGTCAGAAAATAAACTTAGTAAAAAGCGTAATATACCAATCAGCCGTATTACGGAAGCATATAATTTGGGCGTAAAAGCAAAAAGTGACCAAGCTAAACATGCTTATTTTAAGGCAGCTTTCGAGGGTCTAGAAGCGTCGTATGAAGAGTTTCAAAAGATTCATAATGAAATTATAGGTCTTCTTGAGACTGATAAGGATTTTGAAACTCACGATGCTATTAGGAAAGATACTGATGCATTTTATTTTAAAACTAAAGCTTTGTACTCGGAAATCTTTTTAGATAGCTTAAATAAACAGGGTCCTTCGCAAAATTTAGTAACTTCGGCAGGTTTACATACCCAGTATAGAGAGGTCAGGTTACCAAAACTGACAGTGCCTACCTTTGACGGCAATTTGCGTAAATGGCCCATGTTCTATGATGTCTACCTTCAGTTAGTTCATGAAAGCAGTTTTTTGCAACCAATACAAAAATACCAATACCTTCTTTCATTTTTGGAAGGCGAGCCGTTGAATCTTTTGAGGTCTATTCAAACTGTTGGTTCAAATTATGAAATAGCCTTTAAAACCTTAACGGATCGCTATCAAAACAAACGAATTTTAGCAACAAATTATTGGAATGCAATAGTAAATGCTCCTACTTTAAAAAATAACTTGGCAAAAGACTTAAGAACTCTTCTAGACACTTTTTCAGAAAACGTAGCCTCCTTAGAAGTTTTAAATTTTCCAGTTAAGCAATGGTGTTTTGTTTTGTTTAATATGTTAATTCAAAAATTAGACACAGCAACGCGGACTGCCTTTGAAGTCGAGTACAGTAAAACAGAGCTTCCAACTTTCG